AGAAGATATCTTCAGATACATCTTCATTTTTTTATGTCCTCATAATATAAATTAACCATTTTATAGCTTTTTTTGTATAGAACAAACGATGACAATCACTCAGCCTCCCACATCAGACCACAACCCCGCACACGCAGGTAATTTCACTTATTTTTCCACAAAATATAACTATTTGTGCTATGTTATAATGCTTATCACCTAAACAATAATAATACTGAATATTTTTTTTTAAACATTAAAGTATATTTAATCACATCTTCCTATATATATATATATATATATATATATATATATATATATATATATATATATATATGTTTGAAAAAATCTTTTCAAACATCTGGCCTTGCTATTGAAACATATTGAAAATCTTTTCTTCTTGTTGTTGTATATAACTCAAACACAAAACCAAAAGGCTGCTAAAAAAGCCTTGACTAGTCCAATCATTTCGATGTTTGGTCAGATTGAAGTGGGTTTAGCCAAGAACTTTCGGCACTCCATCATAATTACAAATACCTGCAAACTTGTGTGTATGTGGATGTGTTGCTAAAACTTGCTATAACTATGGGGAAGAGTGTTCAATATTGGAAATAGAGCATTTGTTGAGACAGTATGGACATAAGAATCAAAACTGTATGGTGATTGCCAGTTTCATGCCTCTATCCATCTTCAACACACAAATAACAATGAAAAACAAACAACACAAAAATAAAAAATATCAGAATTAACTATTGTCGCCATATTTGATTTCCTGTTGAAGATTAAATAAAAGCAAGATATGTTAAATTTATAAAATCTTCCTATTTGATCTCTCTCTCTCTCTCTCCCTACACACACATAAACATACATACATATATCTCCATACATACATACATACATACATATATATACACACACACACACACACATACATACATATCCATACACACACACACACACTCACATATAAATAACTATTTGTGCTATGTTATAATGCTTATTATCTAAACAATATTGAATAATTTTTTTTTAAACAATAAATTATATATAATCACATCTTAATAGTTGTCGCAATCTGTTAATAATAGTAAAGTGTATCTTTGAAAGAATCAGATTGAAAATGTTTGGAATGCTATTTCATACTTTCTCACTAAATTCTTTAGATGAAGTATTATTATTATGCACTGATTTATTTGAACTAGTGATCTCAGCTTGCTTTTTATAGTCACAATGTTTCAGTTACTGTACCTTCTTCAGGTGCTTAATTTGGAGAACATTTATGAAATAGGCATCTGAAGAAGGCCGGAGCGTACAGCAGTTGAAACATTATGACTATAACAACCAAGTTAGGATGTATCGGTGTACTTCCATTCAAGATCTGCATTCTATAACCATATAAACATAAATACATAAAAAAGAGTATATTGTCAAAAATTCCTTTTTCCACATTATAGCTATTTCTCAGGGATACACGCTTAGGCAATCATGTCTCTTTCAATACATGATTGACGAGGCAGATTTTTTTCCCGCAGTAGGTTGCCATTTCTTTCTGTGGTAGACCAGTTGCCATCGAAGGCTATAGAACCCAGTCTATCCTACTATTTACCCATAACTGGGGAGAAAAGAAGAGGATTCATACCTTTCCCAAGGGTAATAGCACGTAAATGAATATCAGTTCAGTTATGTGCCATGCGTGATACATGCTTAGGTGATCATGTATCTTTTGATACATGACTGATGAAGCAGATTTTTTCCAGCAGTAGGTTGCCATTTCTTTCTGCGGTAGATCAGTTGCCATCCAAGGCTATAGAACCTGGTCTGTCCTACTATTTACCCATAGCTTGGGTGAGAAGAAGAGGATTCATACCTTTCCCAAAGGTATTAGCATGTAAGGGAAGGTAATGGATTTGACTGGAAATCAAACTCGGCTTTCCGATTCCTCAATCCGAGCCATTATACATTACTAATGCTTATTACCTAAACAATAATAATACTAAATAATTTCTTTTTAAAGATTAAAGTATATTTAATCATATCTCCCTAATAGCTGTCTTGATCTGTTAAAAACGAAAGCAAAAATATATCACTCATAGATACATATATGATTTACACCACTTTTCATATATGTAAATTATTCATTATTAACTATTATTATAACTATTATAATTATAATAATAATAATTATTATTATTATTATTATTATTATTATTATTATTATTATTATTTCCTTTGATTTCTGGCATTTACACATTTCTTTCCGGGTCCCGCCCAGGGACCTAAGGTTAGAAATGGCATCATGACACTGACAAAAAAAAAAAATTACATAGATAAAGCCCTTCGTAAAGTATGGGCTGTACTTGTAAGAACAATTTTTTGTATCTCTTTGAGGTATGGACTTCCAGGAATCCCTTCAATTAGTTTACTGGAATCTTTTCCAACCAGTCCTAGGGCTCCAACTACAATAGGGATTGTTGATGTTCCCATGTGCCACATTTTTGAGATTTCTATTTCAAGGTCCTTGTATTTTGACAGCTTTTGGAATATCTTCAAAGATACATTATTATTATTATAACTCCTTGACATTCTATTACCTTCATCATTTCTTTAACTTTGTAGAACATGATTAAGTATTGTCTTACATGAATGAGCTTTTTCACTTGAGTTTTGTTTTTGTATTAGTATTTAACATGTCCATTTTTAGCATATCTTGATAGCGAGAGGTAAACCATACTGGATAACATGTTGGTTTCTCCTACAAAGAGGGACACAGCTTCAATTCCTGTCAGAGAGCACATTTTCTTTATTAAGATTTCTCTCAAATGCACAAGCTGAAAGACATGATACATACTGTTTAAAATAAAAATAAAAAAATGGGGCGTCTATTTCAAATACGAGTATCTACTATAATAACATTTTAAATAATAAAAATATTGGATTAAAAAAAGCAAAAAAAAAAACTTTGCTAATCAGATACTTCCTTATAGCTGAATGGTTAATAGCACATCCGATCAAATGATGGTTCTCTTTGGGGTCACGGGTTCGATTCCTGTCTGAGAAGCTCGTATGTTCTATGAAATTTCTCAAATATTCAGGCCAGTAAATGTAATTAATACTGTTTATTTAATATTAATACTGTTTATTTAATATATATATATATATATATATATATATATATATATATATATATATACTGTTTACGTTATTCCATCGTGACACAGAAATTACTATGTTTCGAAACTTGACAGAAGTCCTAAAGTTTAATTTCAATATTAAACTTAAAATTTAGAGTACAGTTTCATACTCAAGCGATGTTTAGAATAACTAACTGGAGAAATGTAATTTTTTACTCATTTATAGGTTAGAAATGGAGGTGTAATCTGTTTTTTTTATTTTGTTATCAGGGATCACTACTGTGATGAAAGTATGAATTTTTATTATATGTCAAAGCTCTACTTCTGTATCGAGCACTGTTTTTAAAAAATAAAACGTAAATACTAAAGTACTTTGGATCATTAATCTAACTGTTCTTACCTATTACATCTACACGCACACACACACACACATATATATATATATATATATATATATATATATATATATATATATATATATATATATATATATAAAATTTACTAAACATAATCGCCTTCCTACTCAAGAATTGCGCCACAGAAATTACCGAACACAAGTCCGTTCTGTTTTTTGTAATGCTGACATCTTTCTGACAATAAATCTATGCAAATGTCTGCTACAGAATTCTTAGAACTACGTTAATCATACGTGTTTTCGGACTTATTTATAGCTTTATTCATGAGTCTGCTTTTTTTCAACGTCTCATATTACGTTAAGAACTCTTTTCACCTCCCCCTCAACACAACATTTCACCCCCGCAGCTACGACCATCCCGGTTATCTTGCCTTACGATATTCTGTGATGTACACAAAAATTCACGTTGGCTCTCTGCAAACAACTCTTGTTTAACCTTCAGTTTGGTATTTCAAAGAAAGAATTATTCACACGAAAAGCTTCCTCCCACCCTTTTACCCACCCCACTTACCAATTTTATTTGTAATTCGTAAAAACAAAAACAATTTTGTTCTTTAATCTTCTTCATTATTCCTGATTTCATTTTTATGCTAATTTACCAAAGTGAAGAACAAGTCTGTAAGAATAATTCTTGCAAATTTTTATCACGATCCAGTCTATGGAATTGGATTTTTTATTTTTTTTTTTATTTTTAGGGTTTAATTCCCTAACATCGGATGCTACTTTATATCTAAATAAATAAACGGTAAATTCTGTCTGTCCGTCCGTGTGTGGGGAATGCCTTTTTAACTCAGGTCACACGTTCTCTACATAGACATACCTGTTTGGATTCAGGGTGATCCCGGGATTGAAAATCTGTCCTTAATCTGGTGCTTGAACATCCGGCATTGGGATTTGTGTACGGATAGTTAAAAATTCAAATTTTAAAATGACTGAAAAGAAAATAGTGATTTTTAAAAGTTTTTAATTTAAATGGAGTTTAAGCTTAAAGTGACGCAAAAACTTTGAATTTAAAAGGTTTTGTTGTAGATTCAGATTTAAAATATCTCAAAAAAACTTTTACCGATTTCGCCACAGAGAAGCGTTTCAGTTAGCAAGGGCAGGCTATATGACGGTTCCGTATAGGAAACAGGTTCGATTCCTGTCGGAGGACGCATATTTTCTATGACAATTTATCGGACATTCAGGCCGGTAAATGTTGTTAATACTGTTTATTGTAAACAGGGCATTTACTTAAATACTTGTAGCTATAAAAAAAAGAATGTATAAATATAAAAAATGTCTTTATGCACGTAAGTGAATGTAATGGACTCGACTGGAATTCGAACTCGGCCCTCCGATTCCTCAACTCAAGCCACAATCTAGTAGAATTATGTGTTTAAACATGTTTTTCAAGCGAACGAAGAAGATTATCATCGATAGTTGCAATGTGGAGATGGCAGGTGAAGTAGAACAAACCACGTTCCTAATCTAAGTCTCTTCATTATCTATCTATCTATCTATCTATCTATCTATCTATCACAGTCTGTTCATATATATATATATATATATATCTATCTATCTATCTATCTATCTATCTATCTATCTATCTATCACAGTCTGTTCATATCTATCTATCTATCTATCTATCTATCTATCTATCACAGTCTGTTCATATCTATCTATCTATCTATCTATCACAGTCTTTTCATTATCTATCTATCTATCTATCACAGTCTGTTCAATATCTATCTATCTATCTATCTATCTATCTATCACAGTCTGTTCATATCTATCTATCTATCTATCTATCTATCTATCTATCACAGTCTGTTCATATCTATCTATCTATCTATCTATCTATCTATCTATCACAGTCTTTTCATTATCTATCTATCTATCTATCTATCTATCTATCTATCTATCTATCTATCATCACAGTCTGTTCAATAATATCTATCTATCTATCTATTATCTATCTATCTATCTATCTATCACATCTATCTATCATCTATCTATTTCATATCTATCTATCTATCTATCTATCTATCTATCTATCTATCTATCACAGTCTTTTTCATTATCTATCTATCTATCTATCTATCACAGTCTGTTCATTATCTATCTATCTATCTATCTATCTATCTATCACAGTCTGTTCATATCTATCTATCTATCTATCTATCTATCTATCTATCTATCTATCATTTTGTTTCATATTTCATTTGTACGTTTTTCCTTGTTTTTCCTTATTAACTTTATCTCCTGATACTGAAGAAGATTCTAAAAGCAGATTTTATAACCGACTACAGAAATATTTGATGAAATTATCAAAAGAAAATACATGCAAAAAATCAAAATAAAGCATTTTAAAACAAAATAAATATATCCATCTGATTCATAAGAGTTTCTTTGCCTTTGAGGAATGAATTTTATTGTTAGAAAAACACCTTCGACATTTTTTAAATTTAAAACAAATTATGAAAAATATATTTACTATTTTACTACATAACAAACATGGAATATTTGTTGAACCTTTTCGTAAGTGTCTTCTGTTGTCGAATAAAGCGTTTGCGATCCTTGTAAAAGGTACTTGCAAAAATTCTAAGAAATGTCTGGAATGTTTAGAACGTAATTTTCCCGACTATGAGACCCAGTTTCCAATTTCGCCATAGTTGATTTGTCAAGGCGGCCACTTCTTGATAATATTGGCCCGGGGAGACGATGCCAACGTGTGACAAGTTGGGAAGTGGCTGAAAACCAGACTATGGGTTAGCACAACTTAAGACTTTTTGTGTGAAATTGGGATCGATAGATGGTTGGGCTAGAACGAAGTCACAAGTCATCGTGGCCGATGGTATGAGCGTACTGGCCTTGTTCAAAACAGTTGATCACACCAGATATTATCAGGTTGAGTCATAAGTAATTTTCGTTTTTTGAAAACCAATTGTAATTATGAATGTATCATCTTAGCTACTAATTATACGTGGCAGTTAAATGAAGTACACTAACATATGATAGATAGATAATTAACAGACATAGATAGATAGATAGATAGATAGATAATTAACAGACATAGATAGATAGATAGATAGATAGATAGATAGATAGATAATTAACAGACTGTGATAGATAGATAGATAATGAACAGACTGTGATAGATAGATAGATAGATAGATAGATAGATAGATAGATAGATATTGAACAGACTGTGATAGATAGATAGATAGATAGATAGATAGATAGATAGATAGATAGATAGATATTGAACAGACTGTGATAGATAGATAGATAGATAGATAGATAGATAGATAGATAGATAGATAATGAATAGACTTAGATTAGGAACGTGGTTTGTTCTACTTCACCTGCCATCTTCACCTTGCAACAATCGATTATAATCTTCTTCGTTCGCTTCAAAACCCTTTTGACTGAGAAAACCTTTTCTCTAATAATGCAAAACACATTCAAAAGTTCGTCCAAATCTTCTGCATATGAAAACTCACGGAATTTTACTCACCAGGTTTGCCTGACACGTGACCAGAAGGCATTATAAATACAGTCCGTCCGAAGTTCACATAAACCTCAATAACTCGAACTTGCTTTGAAAAATATTTGTCAAATTTTATAGAATTAATTTAGACATCAAGATAAAGCTTCAGTTTAATTTTTAGGCAGTCTCAACATATTTTATGAAACTTGTTGAATTTATTATAAAAACGTCTGAAGTTATTATGTCAAACAAGAAAATCACTTTTTACAAGATAATAAAATTAGCAACAATTGATCACACCTATAACAAAACAAATAACAAATATATAGGATAAATATTTGAAGCATTTAAGTTGCATCTTAATACAGTGATGCCTTTGCCTTTATTAATATGACATATCTTTACGTCAAACGTTAATGGTTACTGGTATTTGAACAGACGTGGCGTTTTACAAGCTTTTAAATCTGTATTAATTTGTTGCAGGCAGGTAATGTTGCTATAAAATTAAAATTCTATTTATTAACCATACATGGAAAAGTTAACTACAATTCAACGACCCCTAACATTTTAAAAATAATTTTGAATTTTTTATGCGTATAAACATGTCAGCTTTTGTAAATACGGTTGTCCGTACACGACATTATTAGAAAATAAGTTAGGTATCTATAGAAAATTTTAAATTTATTGATAACTAGCAGTAGAGCCCGGCGTTGCCCAGGATGTAACAGTAAGAGATAGATCAAGTATCGACCATCATAAAGACTGAAAAATAAAATTGACAAAGATTATTGTTTAAGGTTGACGGACACGCATATCTTAATTAGTTTTTTTTGTTTTTTTTTTGTTTGTTTTTTTTTTTTACGAATTGGTAATTTTACGTAGTCCTGTGAAGTTTTGTTGAAATCGGTTGAAAATGTCGGAAATACGATCCAATATATAAACGTACAGACACACACACACACACAATCTGCGTTTTATAATAAGTAAGATTTTCTAACATTTCCACAACAAGCGACTTCGTAAAACGGTACCTAAAGTTCAATAAAATATTAGAATACTTAGCATATTTAAGATTACTGGGTAGTTAAAAAAAAAAAAAAACATAAAAAAGACGCCCATGTTATATCCGTTATGTAATTTTTTGCAGTTGTGTTCCCCTTACTTAAATTTTCCAGACATCAGGCTGCTAATAAATTATTCAGTACGTAAAATAAAAGACTGTGTTTTTTTCTGTGATATTATTATGTTGTACTCAGAGAGCTGTTGGACAAATTTATCGATTTTAGTGATGATCAGAAAAAAAATTCCAATCAATTTAAATTCTCTTTGAAATACAGCAAAATATTTTACTTACTGGAAACATATATATATATATATAAATATATATATATATATATAAGGCAGCAATCCTTCATTTATACATGTTTCATTAAAGATGACAGACAAGGTACTGCGGTTATGCTTTTTATTTAATTTTTCTTGTGTTCGTACAAGTGTTTTCTTTTCAGGACACAGAATGGGTAAAACTGTCCAAATGTTCTGTAATTCCGAGCACTTTCGGCTATACTTTTAGCCATTATCAAGGATGGCGCTATTTTTGCTTTTTAATTGGGTATATGGGTTGTGTGTAATGTTTCTAGATATATATGGATGTTTTATTTTCCGAACACAGTCAGCACTTTGTGGCCGTGTTCGTAGTTAATATTATTGAGTGTTGGCTTTTTCTTTTTTTTATTATTAAGGCTTCCATTATTTGTAATCCTTTTTTTATATGTGAATGAGGTTATTATGTTTGTATTTTCTACTGGTATGTTTCGGATGGAGTCTGGTAAGATTGTGTGCGTGTTTAAATGGGTTCTAATAGAGCTGCGGTCGGATAGGTGTACCTTGTCTGCCATCTTTAATGAAACATATATATATATATATATATATATATATATATATATATATATTATTCATAGTTACTTTACAGACAACACGGTTCTTTTATCACGATGTTTTGACTAGCGCATTTTATTTATTTATGTAAACCTTTTGGATAACAACATGATAAGAAAGAGATGACATACAGTTGTTCATAATTTTCTTCAAAAAGTATGTCAAGAGGGCTCCTTTTTAAAACATTAACCTCATAAAATGGTTTATACTATCTCTCTTCTCGTAGCCAAAAGTTTGTTTTACGGAAATCAATCATTTTTAGACCTGGCAACGTTAGTTAAAATCTTATTTACTGAAGTGTTCGTAATAGCCATTGTCGAAGTCTGCCATTTAAATGTCTCTCCAGATACAATTACTTTATTTATTCTAATTTGTCTTGATTTCTTGAGAAAGCTAGAGTTGTTTCCCTTTGTCTCATCCGCGGTTCAAAATTCAAACCTCTTCTTCTCATAGACTGGCTGCCAAGCAAGTCTTACATTTGCTTTTATACTGAGTAAAGAAAATCATGTCATACTGAAATCGTCAGTGATGTCTAGTAAACGTCAACAGCAACCCTTGTAAATAAAATAAAATCTACTGACCCAAAGAGTCCACCCACCGAGTAATCATACTTATTATAAAACCCAGGTTGTGTGTGTGTGTGTGTGTGTGTGTTTGTGTCTCTGTGTGTGTGTCTGTACGTTTGTATATTGGATCGGATTTCCTACATTTTTCAACCGATTTCAACAAAACTTCACAGGACTACGTAAAATTACCTTGCGGTGGTTATGACAGCGCCAAAAATTGGAAAAACACAATTGTTTTTGCATGAAATCAATTTGAAAACATGATTAAGAGGCATTAATAATTAAAGGGGGACAACTCATATCGAGTTATACTTATTATAAAAACCCAGGTTGTGTGTGTGTGTGTGTGTGTGTGTGTGTGTGTGTGTGTGTGTGTGTTCGTTTATATATGGGATCGGATTTTCCACATTTTCAACCGATTTCAACAAAACTTTTTTTTTTTTTTGGCAGGTAGTGTTTCTTATTGTCTTGCACACTTTTTTCTTTATTTTTACATTCAGAATGCTTTAAAAATTCCATTTACAAGACAATTGTTTATAATAAAATTCTATTCAATCGGTAGACTCATAACGATTGAAAACAATGTTTTTGTTTGAGTTTGGGTTTGACCAATTCGTAAAAAAAAAAAAACTAATTAAGACATGTCTGTCCGTCAACCTTAAACAATAATCTTTGTCAATTTTATTTTTCAGTCTTTATGATGGTCGATACTTGATCTGTCTCTTACTGTTACATCCCCGGGCAACGCCGGGCTCTACTGCTAGTTACTTATAAAGTCAAATATAAGTGGCCAATATTAACCTATCCCGAAGAAAATGATTATAAACTCAAATATAAGTAATAAATATTTACTTGTCGTCAAAACAGGTAAATGCTTACAGACTTAGATATAAACCATAAATATTTACCTATCCCTGCACCAATTAAATGCTTACAGACTGACATATTAAACAAGTATTTACTTATATCCAAACCAAGGAATGGCTTACAGGCTCAAATATCACCGACCAATATTTACCAATTCCAGAACTGAATAAATGCTTCTAGACTCAAATATTAACGACCAATATGTACATATTTTAGAACCAAGGAAATTCTTATTGGCTCAAATGTTAACGACTAATATGTACCTATTTTAGAACCAAGGAAATACTTATAGGCTCAAATGTTAATGACCAATATATACCTATTCTAGAACCAAACGAGGCTGGCATCCTGCTCCCACCCTTACACTGTAGCCGTCTTTTCTACTTCAATAGCTTCATATCTCGCACCTCTCGCCTGTGAAACTCCCTTCCCTATTCCAGTTTCCCTGAGAGCTATAATCTCCAACTATTCAAATGTAATGTCAATCGATATCTCCAGTTACCTTGATCTATCCACTATCCTTCTCCTCATCCTTTCTTCTATCACTCTTATCTGCTCTTGCTCCAAATCTTCTGCAACCCCCTGCATCCTAGTGGCTTCACGCCTTGCTCGGGGCGTAATGCTAAAAAAAAAAGTAAATGCTTATAAACTGAAATATAATCGACCAGCATTTACCAATTTCAGAACTGAATAAATGCTTACAACATTATTAACGACCAATATGTACCTATTTTAGAACCAAGGAAATGATTATAGGCCCCGATACAATCGATCAATATTTATGTTGTAAGCTAGGAAGGGTTATTGAATAAGGAATAACCAAAACGGAGGTTGGAAATGAAATGGTAATCTTTATAACATCAACAAAATACAATACTCACCAGCGACGTGGAGTAGGTAAACCACTGCTAGTGGTGGACTACTTATACAGCATATTACCCCCACTTACAATAGTGCCCAACATATTTATGAGGAATGGTACATACCCATTAGTGTTTATAGGTATGGTATATAATAATTTTAACTATTCTGGAAACAAATAAATGCTATAGAACTCAAATATCATTTTTTTTTTACCTATAAAATTTTTTTCTTAGGAACTCAAATAAAAATGACTAATATTTATCTATCACCAAATTAAGTAAATGCTTATAGACTCAAATATAAATGACCAATATTTACTTTTTTCCGAACCAGGTAAATGCTTATAAATTCAGTCGTGAGAAGAAAAATATCAAATTATTTATATTTAAAGAATACGTAAAATAAATGTAATCTTCTCAAAGAGGCTTCTAAAAATAACTTCTCTTTTTAAGAAGCAGACATAAAGTAAATAATATATATATATATATATATATATATATATATTTATTTTATTTATTTATTTTTTTTTTGTAGAAATCATTCATTTTATACCTGGCAACGTTATTTAAGAAAAATTTATGACGCGTTTTAATAACCATTATTGAAG